TTGACTCCTTTAGGCTAGTATAGGGCTTGTAGGATTTCTTCTGAGGTCGAGGGCAATCAAATAGCAGACAGCCCCCTTCGGGCCCTGACTAGAGCTCCCCAACCTTAATTCTACGACGAACCCGAATCTCTTGATCCTCAAAACCCTCAGCCCCAAGAAAAGGCCGGGACCGATCTATCAGAGATGGATGACATGCTATAGTGAGAATGGCCACCAACCACATCAAGGGTCCTTCTCTGCATCAACAGCCACCCAAGCGTCCCAAAAGGCTCCAGGATCATGGAGGGCTTTCGGGGGCTTTCGAGAACCGGGGCCAGCACAAACCTTGCAAACCCATCCATACCCCACACTACAAAGCTCATGACTAGGATGGAGACTTGTCAAGGGGTTCAGCTTGCTGGGTGAACAAGGAGCACAATGTGTATCGAATGGTGAAATTGTTTGAGCCGGGTTTGCTCGGGCAGGGGGGGGGGGGGGGGGGGGGGGCTGAGGTAGCTTTTACAATAGCACCCCCTGTTGACCCTAAACCCTAAACCCCTAGTCTTTCCATGGCACCCCCCCTGGAACCCTAAAGCCAAACTGCGAGGTGGTGCGGGACCTGACGGCGTCAAGCAGCACGGCTCCGCGGCTTGCCGCATTGCCTGGGGCCAAGCCGCTGGAGAAGTGCAGGTGCAGTGAGATGTTTGCTGATTTTGCGTGCAAGTTCGCGGAGGTTGGAACAGGCAGAACAGCAAGTGCAAGCTGCTCGTGCATGAGCCGCCTTCTGTACATAACATTAGATAGCGCTTGGACACCTGAGCCAAGGCCATTGAGCCAGTGTTTATTTGCAGAGAAATGCAAGTCGACGGCGAAGAGAGGAAGCTTTGCAGGTGTTTTGTGTGGAGTTCGGGCCCGCGCAAAGGGTACGCTTCGGAGCCATTTGTTGCTCTGATCGACTTGCGCCCGCGTGCGTTGCCATGGCGCTCCAGCATGTGGTCCTGGTGCTGCTGGTCGTGGAGGGAAGTCAAGCCCAGAACGCAACCTCAGCAGACCCGCCTGTGGCTTTGGGGGACCTGATACATTGTCCTTGTGGTGTGAAGTGCTTGATGGAGCTTGGAAGGTGGCACATATTCAACGTTGGCCAGTCTTGCATGTGCCAAGCATGCAGCGCTGAAACCAACCTACGTGGTTCTGACCCCAAACAGGCAGCACATGCGACTCCTACTGCCGAAGAGAAGACAGTGGCCGAAGAGTTTCTGACCTGGGACAGCGGCCTGGTGCCGGCCAGCAACCTTCTTTATTGCAGGTGTGGACGCAATGGGTGGGGAGGCTGCAAACCATGCCGCATGACGTGCCCATGCGGAAAAGAATGTGTGGACTGGGTGCAAGGGATTTACGGGGCACCTGCATGGTGCATAGAGCATCGCTGCACGGCGTGCTAAGCTGTGTTAATTATTCCCATGTTACAATTCATGTGCATAGCGCAGGCGAAGCCATGTGTGGACAGCCGCCACACCCCTGCTTTACCAGCTTGAGTCGAGAAGACACTTGTACAAATTGTCTGTTGCAGGGCCGAAGCAGTGCAGTCTTCGCTCTCGGAGCGACAGCTGAGTGGAATCGCTCTCGTGGCATTGTGCTTCCGATCCGATGGCTATCCTTGAGGCTCGACACGTAGAGCCCAGCCTGTGTACAATGCTTGTGCAGGACAAAGGAAGAGCCTGTGCGTGTCGCTGCTGTGCGGCTTTGTCATTGTGTGTGTGTTGATTGCCCGAAGGGTCGACCACGACCTGGGGAATTTCACAAGTCGGATGTTGCTCGCAGCCATTTCGGATCTCACTCAGTGTGCGACCCTATCATCCTTGGGCCGAGCTACGGGCAAAAAAAATTAAAAATGAGTCAGTAGCAGAAGAAGCTGCTCTTTTAGTTGGGCTTGGCACCTGGGCGATAAAGGCTGTGTAGCGTCCAGGTCTAGGAAGTGGCCGGAACATTCCTTAAATTATAGCTAGGATCCGAATGTTGAGCAAACCTGGCCGCTCCTGATTTAATGGGTATTGGGGTCTCTGGGTAGAGCTGATGGCTCCCAGCGACCCTAAGCCATACAACAACCCGTAAGACCGAACCCATGCAACCCTGAAACCCAAACCCGAAACAACAGTTAAAAACGCTCCCAAGCCCCTCCCAAACTTCGGCCTGAACCATCAAAACCCTGAAGCCTCGATTTAATTAAGCCATTATGAAGCCTTAAGAGCCTCAACCGGTTGCCGCCTCTGTCATGCGCGCTGCCCGTGCCCTCCGTCTGCTGCTGCGGCCGCGACAGGGACGAGGCGCTTCGGGCAGATGAGCCGCTACCCCCATATGGGGGTTTGCGCATATAGGGGACCAATAAAATGTAGTCCCCAAGTAGTAGGATTCCCTTCATTAAATAAGGACCCCAAGAAGGTACCCCTACTTTCGGAACCCCCCATATCTAGCGATGCCTTGATAGGGGTGGAGGGGTTTTGAGTTTTTTGGATTGAGGCCTCGCATCCTTTCCAGCCGCAGCTTAAGGCCATCTTAGCAAAAGAGGTAGGACAGGGCGGATACTTTCTGCTGCTATTTACGATTGGTTTGCAGGGATTCAGTCTGTGGATGCAGCAGGGCAGAGGGTTCAGGAATCAAGGGCGTCGAAGGCATTGGAAGTCATGTTTCAGTCCCAAATGAAAGTTTCCGTACGGGGTGCGCCTTTACTCAAATCGAGCAAGGACCCAAACCCTAAACCCTAAACCCTAAACCCTTAAATCCTCAAGCCTTTTCCGCGGCAGGCCACGCCAGTGCGAGCGCCCTTGTGGCAGGGGAGGTCCAACTCTCGGCCGACAGCGCGGATACGGCCGGTAGGGGTTTAGGGTGTGTATGGGATTGTAGGGCTTATGGGGTGTAGGGCTTCGTGTGTAGGCTTTAGGGCACATTGTGTGATTTTCGTTTCTTCTGACAAATATGGCGAGCACACCTCTCTCTCCAATTTTGGGGCAGGAAGCTAAGAGAGGAGCCCAATCCCGGTAAACCTCCAACTCTAAGTTTTGGAGCCCACCATGATCCCCATAAAACCTACTTATAATTAAGAAATGGGATGCTCCCCCTTTTCTTAACAGTCCTTGATAGGGACTAGAATAGGCATTAAGGACGGTTAGTGCAAGGGGAACATCCCAATTCCGGTACATGCTCGATATGATACGTTCTATACACCCACAACCAGCCATTGACAGTAGATTGGTCTGAGCGTGTTGGGGGTTTGGGGGCCTCCTAGGGCGTCTGCTTGCCCAGGAGTTGTGTAAACAACACATGTTCACGTAAACTGTAGTACAAGCCCAAAAAGCACCCATTTTTGGAACGGCTCCGAGAGTTCTAGTTTCCAGAAGTGAACTTCTAGTCCTAAGTCCCAAGCTTCATGCTGAGATTGAAGCTGATGCTGCTGCCCAGCAGCTGGTGAGAAAGCTGCCCAGCTGAAGTGGGCGGTTGCTCAGTTGCTCGTATTTGGGGCCCCTTTCTTGGGGACCTACAGTACGGACTCGAACCTGAGTACTCTTGCTTGAAACCACTGTGCCCAGGAATTTTCAGCTAAACCTTAGTGCTTGACGATGCGCGATGCATGGGTGGTACTCAGGAGCAAATCAGGACTGCAACATTGTACTTGCTGGCTGTAGATGCGTGATAATCCTATGTAATCTTATGCTGTTCCTGTTTTGTCTTAGCTGCTTAGCATCTAGGTACACCAGTACATCTACACTGCTACACCTAAACCCCCAAACCCTAAACCCCAAACCCCAAACCCTGAACCCTGAACCCTGGAGATCTCAGGCTGTCAGATCGGCTGGGTGCACCTCCCAAGCTCGTGATCTACCTGGCCAAAGGATACGGCCACCGCCCCGCAGTCGCATTTCGCGTGATGGGACCTATAAAGCCTATAAGCTCAACCCGAAATTTTACCCCAAACAGTAGACCCTAAACCCTAAACCCTAAACCTGTCGTCGCGTCCAAGTGACATCATTGCGAGTATCTTGTTCTGATGCCCAAATAGCAGCTGACCTGGGCCAACGGTCAGGCTGTTCTCACGGTACGGAGACGTCTCTTCAAGACAACATCCGGGCTCCATGAACACATGGTGCTATGAAGTTTCTGTAGAGAGAGGATACTCTGAGTCCTCGGCGGTCTAGACTATCTTGCACACCCTTCGGTAGAACAGGCTTCCCTGCCAACTGCAATTTGCAAGTGAGAACACAAGAACACACAGCAAAGTCAGACCCAGGCTCAGCCTGCGTGGGACCTTTGCTGCAGGCGCTTCATCGTTCAGTGTCTGCCGAAGTCGGGACTAAGAGTTCAGGGCTTCGAGATGTTTAGAGAGTTCAGAGTCTAGGGTTCAAGGTTGAGATTGAGTCTTGGGTTTGTTCAGAGCTGGAAGGAGACACGCTCATGGCCCATAATAGGACTTACGGACAGGTCTGACACAGAGAACGTACCAAGAACACCTGTCTTAATATCCACATCATTCTCTTGCTCACAGTTCACCTTGGAAAACCACCAATAAACCTTATGATTCGCTTTTAGGACCAGGATAATGAATTATTGCTATTAACTGCCAAGGTACGTTCATGCACACGGTTCTCTTGTTCATACCGTTCATCTACTAAACCCTAAACCCTCAGCTGCGCATCCTTGTAACCATGTAGGCCACTTGCGATTGCAGGACATGCTCGAACATCGTTTTCCGGTTTCGTTCTTGGCCGGATGGCAGAGTATTTCTATCCTTGCTCCAAACTCCTCCCCCTCCAGAACTTTAAAACACCCAAAGCCTTAAACTAGACACCAACAGCCCTATAACCCATAAAAGCCATAGAAAGCCATGCAAGCCGCCAAGGGCCTTGTAAAGCCTAAACTTCATAAACGCCAACAGCCATGCATGAGCCATGTAAGCCCCAAAGGCCTCGTAAAGCCTCAACTTTGAAAACCTACATCAGCCAAAATATGAGCCATGCAAGCCCCCGAAG